CCCCAAAACCCCAAAACCCCAAAACCCCAAAACCCCAAAAACTACCTTTCCACAGTACAAATTTTAATAAAATTATAGCTAAGATTTCAGAATGGCTGGGCTGGTCACTAAGGCTTTTAAATGGTCTGCGAAGCAAATAAAGAAGCAGAATCTGTTTGATGAGAGCATATCACTGACGCATAAGACGAAGAATAATTTCATGGCGTTTATGGCAGGGCTGGTGTCTATAGCCATGATGGTGTTTTTGGTAGGAATAGGGATTATCTTAGCAATCAGGATGATCAAGAAATCAGAAATGCAATGGAATCAGAATACTACAAGAGTATCCCTCAGAAGTGACACAACTCTTGTGAATGTTACAGAGGCTGATATGATCTCTGTGCGAGTAATTTTCACAAGTCTTATGCCTGAGCATGATGCTTATGATCTGAATAGAATTTTTAATATATCCTTTGTGAATATAGAACAAACTTACGCAGAAAATTTTGAAGCTGAGATTAATGAGGCAAGTTTATCTTATGCAAGGTGTACAAAATATGATTTTCCTGAATCCAGGCTTCATCCAAGCCTTGAGAAATATACCGCAACTGGCCAGATTAAGCAGATGTGTTTTAACCTTACAGGAACATCTATCGCAGGAAATTCTAATAGTAGAGACTTATACAAATATGTGAGACTTCATCTGAGGCTTAAGTCTGAATTCATCAAAATTATGAAAGAAAACATCTTTTCACTCCAGTTCGAGATCCAGAGTAGGTATGTGGACCTAAATGACCTGGATAACCCTATCAAGTCGATATATTGGTAAGCAAGTTCTCCTCGGTTATTTTTAAGGTTACTCCTAAGTTTGGGAATATTTAGATGTGTAATTTCTGATAGAGGCTAATAAAATCCTGATACAAATTTTATGTAAATTTGAAATAAAATTTTGGATTTTTAGAATTTTAAGTAAAACTGTTTCATAAATTAGCTTGATTGACAATTCATGACTTGAATACGTTCAGCCCAACTCATAAAATGTTAATTAAATGCTGATTTTATGATTTGCCCACTACTGCTTTCATGAGATGAGCTTGTCCACTAACTTTCATTAGTTTAAATTTACACACAATTTTAGAAATATACGAATTTAAATATTGCCATTATCATAATTCTTTATTTACTAAACCACTTTTATACCCAGATTTGATCCTAAAAGTTAAACTTCTTGACTCTCTATTTTTACTCAACATTGTCCTTCTAACACAAATATAGGGATTACACATTAGGCACTACGGATGACCTTGGAAACTGGGGAGCCCACAGATACAAATTTGATATCTTGAGGAATGAAGTCGAACTTCAAGACACCTGGTGGGACTTCCTCTCCAATCCTACAACCAAGGAATTCAAGAGCGTTGATACAGATTCTTATAATTATGAGAGAGTTGGAGAGCATTTAGCAACTTTTTATACTATTGATTTTAGCCTGGGCGAGAAGACCAACCAATACGGTCGTAGAGTCCTTAACTTTCTTGAAGTAACTGGAGTCGTCGGAGGCCTCTTCGAGATACTAGACATATTTGTTGGAATCATCATTGGATACTTGTACACTTATAGCTTGAAGAGAGAGATTACCAAGGATTTGGTAAAGGCAGATAACAAGATTCAGGATTTGCAGAAGAGCATCGATGAAATACTCAAGAAAGACCAAGTGGGTCAAGAACAAAACAATGTTGAAGTCTTACAAAGAATAAACAGGGATGAATGAAAAGAGAGTTCTAAAAAGATAGAAGATTGAAAAGAGGAAATTAACAGCCTTGTAAAATTTCGAGATGAGAACAGTAAAATAACTAGAACTAAACATTTTCTTAAAAACACTCGACATTTACAAGGATTATCCAAAGTAAAGCCAATTAGTCACGAATCTCCACTCCCTTGTGAACTCCAATCACTCAAAAACCATAATACCTCACACACCCCTCCAGTTCCCCCCAAACACCCTTCCGCCGCCACCTCTCCCCCTACCAAACTGAACCCAGACAAGTTCCTGAAAGGTACCTCCCCCCTCACCTCTAGAACACCTCGACTGCGTCAGCCTAGTCTTCGCCATCAAAACCCTCCAACTCAAAGTCCAGTACTTGTTAGCCAGAGATACCTGATTACTTTCTCTTCCTTCGCAACCTCCTTCACAACCTCCTCCTCAGCCTCCTTCTCAACTTCATCCTCAACCTCTCTCTCCACCTTCTTCACAGCCTCCCACCCAACCAATGAAAGGGCCTTCGATCTACCAACAGATCCAGCAAATAACAAAGAGAGATTTTTGAAGCAACAAGAGCATAAAGAGCTTAAGGAAGGATTTTTATAAGGTTTAAAACTTAAAATTTCATCTGAAGCTATAACTCCGGGGTTTTGGGGTTTTGGGGTTTTGGGG